ATATATTTATGTTTGTGGTTGTAATGTGACAAAATATGGAAAAGTTCAAGGGGTATGAATACTTTTGCAAACCACTGTATATGGTGTTTTTGGGTTTGTAATTATGCTAATCCCCTTCTCTGTGTGTACGAGCACCTGATACGAACAAATGTCATTCATCATGTTTACGCTGCTCATTTACACATTTTTCTTGAAGATATAAGAGTTTGTTGACTCTGACGTGGCATGTTCGTACGAACAAAAGTAAGAGAAATTTAGGATAAGAATACAAAAATGTTCTTTTTTCATTTGAATGGAGAAGCCAGCTGGTTCACCGTGCATGTACACGTTCAGAAATTAAGCAGGCAGATGGAGGGGAAAAAAGGCTGAGCTTGAAGCACAGCGTGAGGCATGGACGTCTGCTTCGCATCAAAACACAAACTGAGCAAACTTTAGCCATCTTCTCTGTGGTTCAATATTTCCAACTGAACAGAAGTTCAATCTACTGCTGGTGGGCCTCAATAGACGTAGGCCATGTTCAAACTGCAGGCAAGTGTGACCCCAAATCCAATTTTTTTGCCCCTATGTGACCCAGGTCTTTTCAGAATGTGGTAATAAATCAGACACGTGATGTTTTTCAAAGAAACCTCGATTTGAACACTCGTTGCATTTCACCTGACTTTTACATCAGTGAGGTGGGTGTGAGCAAATCGATCCAAGTAATTAGATATCGATACCAACCTCAAACTGTTTAAATCTTGTAAGAAGTCCAGTTGCTTAGTTTTTGTTCTTTTAATTCTCCATGTCCAGAATGACTGAGAAGAATCCACAGAAATCTGTGATACTGATGTTTGCACTTGCCTGTATCGATACTAACGTTACTGGATCAGTACTTTAGTTTTACCTTTCAGCACACTGAGGCAGATTCAGATATAAAGACTGAACCAAATAAACGTGTCGGATATTATTTAATCAGCTCTGATTGAACAACTTCAGAATCGACATAACAGGTAGCGTCCGTGTTTACTTGTGTAAACTGTGCTAAATGTGATGTCACGTCTTCTGCACATGTGGGTCACATCAGTGCTGAGGAGAGTTCACGCTGGAGTCTGATGGAGGACACATTCATGTGAACACACACACACCAAAAAAATTTGATCTGAGCAACAAAATAAAAAAAATTGAGTTTTATAAAATGTGGGCATTAACCTGAAGGTCGTATTCAAACTGCATGGCTTAATTATTTTCTTTTTTTCTCCATTGATTTCAAACAGGTTTTTTTTAAAACAAGAAAATAAGCAACCAGTAGGACAGAGAAAACATGCATACATACATAACCAAGAACCAAATAATTAGCTTACCACTACTTTTCTGTTTGAAAAGGAGTAGGAAAAATGAACACTTATTTAATCCTACCCCTGATCTCAATTCAATGAAGTGTATTACTTAAATGTTTTGCTGATTCAATCTAAATATAACTAGCAGACTCGTGTAAACAGTCTACAGCCCTAAAGTGACCCATAAACACAGAAAATGTGACATCACACACAGGACGCTGTGTTTATGGAAGTCACACTCTGACATACACTGACCAAAAAACAGTGTCCACCTGGATTTAACTACGCTCCATGATGTGTGGTTACTGCAGTTGGTCTAGGTTCAGCAACAGTCTGTGCTCAAAGAATGAGGTCAGCTGACTACCTGACTAAACTGTTATTCCATCAATGGGTTGTTTCTTCCCTGATGGTACGGCCATATTCCAAGATGACAATGCCAGGATTCATGGGGCTCTTATTGTGAAAGAGTGGTTCAGGGAGCATGAGACATCATTTTCACACATGGATTGGCTCCACAGAGTCCATTGAGAATCTTTGGGATGTGCTGGAGAAGATCAAACTCTACCATCGTCAATGCAAGATGTTGGTAAAAAATTAATGCAGCACTGGATGGAAATAAATCTTGTAACATTGCATTAACTTATTGAAACAATGCATGCTGTAATCTAAGCTAAAGGCGGTCCAACTAAACATTAGTGTGACCTTTTTTGGCCAGGCAGTGTACTTTACATGTAAGAGTGTGTATTAGTTTTTAAGTTGAGTAATCAAAGCCAACTAAATTATCCACCATGCTCGTCTCCAACCTTCTTTGGTGCAAAATCACACTCCAGAACAGGATCAACATATAGAGAGAAGATCAATTCCATCACTCCAGCATCAATACAACCATGAATAAAACATCACTTCATTCTGAGGTTGCTTTGAAAACATCAGCTATGGATCAGATACGAAGGAGACCTTGGTCCGATGGCAAAATGATCTGATGACATTTAAACAAGGTTAGATCTGGGTCACTTGTCTGCAGTGTGAACGTGTCCTAAAGCGGGGAGCAGACGTTTTCCACATGTATGTAATTTTTTTACCTCGTTTTCTCGTGAACGACGTCTTTACCATGAAATAACGATGAGTGTTTTCTCGAGATAATGAGTTATGGTTTTCCTCTTGTACATCATTCGGTAATCATGGAGACGGCCCGATCCCCTCAGCTGGTCACAGATGAAGTTTACTACATCATAACACAGGCTGAAATTGCAATTTCTGTCTTGTACATTTAACTTTCATATCATTTAAGGAGACGACTGACCCGACTGCAGCTCAGCAGGCGTTTACACTTAGCAAACTTCATCGAATTAACTCATTACCTCGAGAAAATACTCATCGTTATTTTGTGATAATGACATAATACATTATCATGTCATTATCATGAGAAAACCATGGGAAAAAAATTATATGTGGAAAATGTCCCGTCTCACCTTCAGTAACTAAAGGCTCTGTCACACTACAGCATCTTAGACAACTTATGAACATTTTGTTATTCATAAAGGTTATATATTCAGCCTAATCATTACCATTACCAGAAGTGGGCAGCACTAATCTGAAAATTAGTTCCACTAGCCCTAAAGCACTAACTCATATATTTAGGTCCCCTAATTCTAAAGCACTAACGCACTGAAAATTTATCAAAAGCTAATTCTAAAGCACTAACGCACTGAAAATTTATCAAAAGCTAATTCTAAAGCACTAAAATAATCCAGTCAACCCATGAACATCCTTCAGACGACATGAGTCACATGTTGCCATGTTGCTCTCTTAAGACTTATCATTGACATTTAACAGCTGTATTTGTGTTCATATACTGCCACCTGGTGGATAAATGACACACATATGAACAAAATGTGTGACAGCTTTCACTGTCCGCTGTTAACTTTAACGATCAGTAACATTTATAGACCTCAGTTAGTGCTTCTTAATTTAGCCTATGAATTTATCAAATGCTAATCCACTAATAAAATTTAAAATTAGCAAAAGCCCTAAAGCACTAATCAGGAAATTAGTTCCCCTATTAGTGCTTTAGGGCAGTGATTGCCAACCAGGGGTACATGTAGTACCTTTGGGGTACATGAGCATATTACCGGGGGTACGTGGAAAAATTTCCCAGATGTGTAAAAATAAATAAATAAAAATAGGACTGAGATATGTAGGGCCCTATGGTTTCCAAAATGCAAAAAAAAAAAATGCAAATGGAATCACGAAATTGACACAAAATGGATTCCTCTATAAAACTCATTCAGTTTTTTTCTATTCTCTATTAAGTATCTAGTATTTTGGACGCTGCTGCTTCCTGCACCTGCCATTACCTGGTTTATTTATTTAATTACTTATTCACTTTCAAGACAATGTATTTATGTTTACATTTAATTTGAGTTGAAAAGAATAAAATGCCTGAGAATTCAACATTCTAGGTGGTTAATTAAATAATTTTAATTTAATAATCAGTTGTAGTACATTATAGTTTTGGAGAATCATCATTACGTTTGACAGAGGGGGTTCTAGTGAAATGACAAAATGGCTCAGTGGGTACACAAGTCTAAAAAGGTTGGGAGCCACTGCTTTAGGGGAACTGTGCCCACCACTGACCATTACAGTATCTATACGTCTAAAAGATGGTTCTGGTAAATTTTTTTAATTCCATCTTCAACAGACATTTTTAGTCTTCAAAATTTTCACAAGTTGTCTGAAATGTTATAGTGTGACAGGGCTGTAGAGGAAGGTGGCGTTGGACCTATCTGCAAGTAATCCCAAAGCTTAAGAAAGATGAAATACCAGTTATAAGGAGGGTCAGACCTTGCCTTCAATGTCTATGATTGAGTTCATGTCTGATAAGGGACTATTTGACCTAATGCCAATTCAGAAAAACCTTGTGTTTCTGTGGTTACACTCATACCTTCCAGTTTACTGAAGGATCCTTCATCAGAAGCTGGAACTTCTGCTGCACCAACTTTTGGAACGCGCTGGTTTCATATCGCTCAATTCCAAACTGGCCTCTCAGAGCCGCCTCGGCCGGGTTCAGCTGCAGGAACATGACAAGGTCGGGCTTCGGCAGTCCCACGTCAGGTTTCATGCACCAGTCCAAGCAGAAACCCTGAAGACGGCAAAAAACAAACGTGCTGAAGTCTTTAAGGACGAATTTAAAAAAAATGTAAATGTTGAGCTGAAGAAAAGAAAACTCACAGGTTTAGCGCTGGTGAAAGCAGCACCAGAGAAGGCGTACCGATCCACAACCAGAGTGATGCCCTGCTCCAACTTTTTCTTCATCAAAGGCCTGGGTTTAACATCAAGTTTTAATATTAATAGAGCTAAAAGGAAACCTGTCAAAAGCAATAATGGTGCAGGTTTAAAATTAACCCAGTTTATATTCAATCAGAAGTTTTAAACATTTTTAAATGTAATTGATAATAGACTAAAAAGAATGAATACATCTGGTTATTAAACTAAATGGTCAAAACACTGAGGCTATCTGTTATAAAATGAAATGTTGCTAAAGGCCTGAAGAGTTTGGACATATAACAGGGTTTATTTGCTTTTGGTTTGAACAAACATAAAGAATAAATTATCATCTTAATGTTATACATGACTATGACAGAGTATTAGGGCCACACAAGATTTTTTTTAAATTATGAGAATAAAGCATAATATTACGAGATAAGTCATATTGTAGCCTTTACATGAAAAAGCATGCAGTTACCACTGCATTAAAACGAGGAATGTTGAGCAACTTGTGAAGTTGTTCTTTAGTATTACTTGAAATAAATAGTTCATCTTTTAGCACATTAACATCAAATCATCAGTAGCAGGACTTGGAAATTGTGCAAACGACTATAAACTGAAGCTGTATTGTAATGGATGCGTTGACAGATTTAGTCGTCATGTAGCTAATTTGGATGAAAAAGCATATCTTACACTAACAGTGACCCAAGTCATCGTGGACTGCTTTATAAACACAGACACATGGCTGTACACAGCAGGTGTGAGGGAAATAAGAAGGAAATGAGGAATGGAAAATGGACACGTCATGTAAGATTATGACTTTTTTTCTCGTAAAATTACCACTTTAATTTTGTAAAATTACGACTTTATTCTCGTATTATCATGACTTTATTCTCATAATATTTTGACTTCAATCTCGTAATATGACTTTATTCTCATAAAATGATGACTTTATTCTAATAAAATTACGACTTTAATCTAGTAACATTATGACTCATGAAAACACGACTTTAATCTCTTAATATTATGACTTTATGTTCATATTGCGACTTTATTCTCATAAAATTATGACTCTAGTAAAATTACGACTTTAATCTCGTAATAATAAAATCTTGTTGTGTGGCCCTAATAATCCGTCGTACATGACTCCTCATCTGATTGTTTTAATTTACACAAGTCGTAAAATGTTTCAGAATATATGACATCATAATAAACACAAAGATTAAAACACCTAATCGTTTGTTGCTGTACAGCTTTTGAGCCAAATGCTACATGTTCTACATAAAGTGACTAACAGTCCAAGCTTCAACTCCAGTAATACTTGATAGAACTTTTAAAAACTTTGGAATATGTCTGAAACAAGTCTCCTTAGATAACCTGTCAGACTGACAATCCTTCGTGCTGAAGAGACCGTCAGTAGATAACTCGTCTTGTTAATGATGTCATTTAGGACTTCAATATGTTGATTTTACATGCACTGACAAACAGGGCATCTTGTTTATCAAAAATGGCATTATCGGATTTTTATTTTATTTTTTAAGAAAGTTTATTAATTTAAACCATGCTGAAACAAAAAAACATCATAAACTGAAAGGTAGCAGAAAAAGAAAGAAATCTTATGATTCCTGCCCCTTTTTCTCAAATAAATAAATTCAAACAAAAAATCTTCAATTTACAACATACAAAAAAAATTAAAAGAAAAACAATAAAGGTTTAATTCCTTCTTGAGTAACAATTCTTGTCTTATACCCATACGTATTTCTCCAACAAATTTACCTTTATCATTTTCTTAAATATACACATTGATCTGGCATTTTTAACGTCATCTTCCAGATTATAGCATAATTTAATTCCCTGGACTGAGGTACTCAGTTCGTTCAAACTGGTTCCAACTTTAGGTTTGACAAACGTTTCTATCCCCTTCAAATTATAACAACTCACTCTTGAAAAAAATGTAACTGGATGCTTGAAGGTAATGTATTTTTATGGGCCCTATGCATAACTGACAAAATATAATCAACCAAATCAGAGAATTTCAATAACTTCAACTGATGGAACAATGAATTTGATGGGTGATAGAACTGTTTTCTGGTAAAATAGCTCTTTTCTGTAAAATAAAAACAGGATTTGTTATTGTTTTACACGCTTTTCCCCAAACATTTATTATTTATTGTGGGTCTGTGGTGTTAGATGTCGTGGGAGTGGGCAGCAGAGTTTTTGGTGGATCATATTTTATATTTTATGGACAACTTGTCTGCACACTCGTTGGATTAGGTTTACAATGATTAGGATTGCACTGCAGCAATATTCTGACTCATGACCCTATTTGTAAATAGAACTAATCAGATGGTGCTTGTAAGCGTTGGTGAAACATTAAGCATTATCCTGTTTTATTATTTTGTTTTACTACCATTTTTCTAAACTCATGCTGGTTTGTGCTAACTGTCTGACATGTTTTATAAAACATCTCCATTTCCATCTTCTTCCACTTATCCATTGACGGGCTGTGAAGACAACAGGTCTAGGAGAGAAACCCAGACTAATACAGATTTGTGCAAGTTTCTGAATATTTCAAGGAAGGTCTAATGTGTACAAAGAGAAAGTCTCATATCTTTCAGTTCAGCTCACGAAAAATGGGAGCAAAAACACAAGTGCTGTGTTTATATGTCCTGATGCATCTCAGTAATCCAGGTAGAAAAATAATAATAAAAAATAATAATAATAAATAGGTCCTCTGGACAGGTTCTTCTTTAGTGAAACGTTTAATCTCTCCTTCAAGAGACTTCTTCAGTCTGATGAGTTTCAGGTGAACTCAGCCTTAAAAGCACTGCCTCCACATGGTGGACTAACAGGTTGGTCATATGCAAATTAGCCAAACAATAAGTCGTTAGAGCCTTGATTGGCTCTATTGTTCATAGAGGGTCATGTGCTCCATCACCTGACTATCATTGGGGCCCTGATTCACACCGTTTTGCTTACAGGGGCGGAGTCATACTTGCAATAACAGCGTTGTAGGAGGAGGACAACTGGACATGAAGGTCTCCACCTCTGTTTAACGGTGGACGGTTTTTCTTCACAAAGATGGCTTCCTTTACTCCTCTCTCAAACCAGCGTTCCTCTCTATCAAGGATGAGAACATCTTCATCCTTGAAAGAGTGACCGCTGGCCTGTAGATGAGTGTAAACTGCAGAGTTCTGGCCTGATGATGTAGCTCGTCTGTGCTGGCTCATTCTTTTGAACAGTGGCTGTTTTGTTTCCCCGATGTATAACTGATCACAGTCCTCCTGACACTTAACAGCATATACTAAATTACTCTGTCTTTGCTGGGGAACTGGATCTTTGGGGTGAACTAATCTTTATCACAACGTGTTTTGGGGTTTGAAAGCCACTGGGATGTCATGTTTAGAGAATAAACGTCTCAGTTTCTCTGAAACTCCCGCCACATACAGAATGACGATGGCTTTGGGTCTTCATGCTGCATTTATATTTTTGTTTTGTGTAAAATAAAAAGCATTGCATTTTCATTTTTGTTTTTATTCCCACAGAAAAGCATTAATAAGAGGATCGATAAAATACTGGATTAATAAGCAATATTGATAATAGTAGTAGTATCGATAAAATCAAAATGATACCTATCCCTGGCGTTAGGTTTACTGAACACATGTTTTCATATGAAACAAAGTGAGTCTTACACCAGTTCCCAGCGGTTTGCAGAGAACAGCAGGTGCACCGTGTGGTCCTCCAAATCACTTTTCTTCTCCAGGTAGGAGCTGATCAGCTGTCCAATGGTTGTTGTCCTGTCTGTGTGAACACAAGAGATGTCATATCAAGGTGAAAACACAAACATGAAAACAGCCAGACACAGCACAGTTAACAGATTCTGAGATCATCTCCTCTGCCATACTGGCAGTGATCGCAGATGTCAAACTATTTTACAGGAGAAAGGAACATTTTACCATGTCATTTCAATGCACTGTAGTGCTCCTTCCATAACTGAGTGATTTCTTTTACACCACTAACACCATCAATAGTAGATGGAAGTGACGTTTTGCAGTTATTTACTTTCTTTATTTCTTTCCAAAAGTCCTTAACATTATTATTTCCCAACTTTCTAGCAAGAGAGTCAGACCTCATAGTATTTTCATTTCTCCTTATAAATCTTAAAACATATTTAAAATTAGCATTTGATTGTTTTTTGTATTCAAACAAGGGGCCATGTCTCTGTTTACCTGAATCAACCCATGCTTTAAGAGCCCTTCTGGCCTCTGCATGATGCTCTCTAACATAGTCATTCCAGCCTGGCTTGGTGCTATATGAGCTGGTTTTATGCAGTGGCTTGCTTGAGGTAAGGAGGGATTTCACAACATTCTCATACAAGGTACATAAGTCAATACCATGCTGAGGGTCTTTACAATTCATTTCACGGCATGAGAATGAATGAGAATGTCCTTTTGGTAAATATATATTGCTAAACATGTTGTTCGTTCAATAGCAATAATCTGATAGATCTTTTTCAGTCAAGTTATCCCATGCTATTTTTCCTATACTTGTATTATAGTCTGCAGGCAAAACAGAAGGTATGCAGTTCATGTTTACACATAATGAAAATGGTATATGATCACTAGTGGCAAATTCATAGTTGACACAAACGCCCTGATGGAGTCATGAGCATCAGCTGTACASATACAATGATCTAACCATGAGGTTGTATGCCATGATTCACTAATATAGGTGTAGCTGTCGTAAGGCAAAAGCACCTTACTAGAAAGAATTAAGCCATTGTTGTGACAGAATTGCATTAAATGCTTAGCAAATGTAGAATGATTATCTGWGACATCAGCATTTAAATCCCCCATTAATAACCAGGGCCCATATTTATCAAACTCTATATAATTACTCTTAAGAATGCTGTTCAGAATGGACTTGAGGGCAAAAAAAATCTTAGCTAAAAGCTGGGCTTAAAAGTCAGTTACCAAGAGTCTCAATTTCACTTTAAGTAACAGTCAATACGGGTTTAGAACAAATAATTCAACATCAGTGGCTCTCATGGAGTTAATGAAAGAAATAACTGCTGTTGATCAAAACGTTTGTGTTAGTAGTTGTTGATTTAAAGAAGGCTTTTAACACGTGACCATAACATCCTTATCGTAAATGTGAATAAACATTGCATTAGAGGATTAGCACTACAGTGTGTAACTAGTTATTAAAAAAATGGAAACAGTTTGCTCCAAGAAACTAAGATCTCAATTATGTAATTTTAGTTGTGGAGTTCCTCARGGTTCTGTGCTTGGACCAAAACTTTTCCTTTTATATGTGAATGATTTGATTAATATGTAAAATGTGTTGTTTGCAGATGACAACACATTTTTACTCTGGTGAAAATACTGAACAGGTGTTGGAGGGGATACAGACAGAATTTGGGAAGGTCCAAACTTGGTTCCAATTTAATAAATTATCATTGAATTTGGATAAAACTAATTTGATATTTTGGTATCCGAAAGTAAACTATCAAGAGTTCTGTCCTGATGCATCTCAGCAATCCAGGTAGAAAAAATAAGTAGGTCCTCTGGATGGGTTCTTCTTTAGTGAAATGTTTCGTCTCTCCTCCAAGAGACTTCTTCAGTCAGATGAGTTTCAGGTGAATTCAGCCTTAAAGGCACAGTGTGTAGGATTTGTTGTTTTCAGCGACATCTAGTGGCTGAGTGGTTGAACCA